AGAACACTTTGTGGCCTAATGTTAATGTGCAGAATATAATCCCTGAAAGGGCCTCCTACGTAGGGGAGTTCATCTTCCCTTCCCAGGTCCTATCAGCCTGCCATCATCACGAGACTCTGGTATCCACCCCAAGCCAGTGATCTTTGCAAATTCACATCTGGCCCTTTAGAAGTTTCCCACCAATCTCAGGATCAAGACCAAACACCTAAACTCCTAAACATGCGTGGTTAGGCCAAAATGACCTTGACCCACTCCACACTCTGCCATGCACCCTTCACACACACACATCCTCCCTCCCTCCCTCCCCCTATACCCCCCCCCCCCCCAGCCACTGTGGCCCCTTTTAGTTCCTCCTCCCATGCACCTTCCCAGGGGCTTTTGCACCTGCTGGTCTGCTGGTCGCACTACCTGGAATGTACTTCCTTTCCCCTCCCCACCAAGTTAACCCTGCACATCCTTCACATCTCAGCTCCTGTGCCACTTCTTCAAGGAAGCCCTCCCTGACCTACTTAAGTAAAACCTCATATAATAAACTCTCTTGGCAACATATTCCTTATTGCCCATGTCCCAGTTGCAACTTGGCATTTGAGGGTGTGCGAATTTGATTAATATTTATCTCTGCAACTAGATTTCACCTCCAAAGGGGCAGGGACTGGCCATTTCTCTTCCAATGTATATACCCAGGGCCTGACACATAGTAAGTGTCAGAGAATATTTGTGGCGTATTTGTGAGTAAATGAACGAATGAGAGAAAGAATGAATGAATAGCACTTCATTCCCATATGCACCATCATGAGACCATTTCCTAGAGGTCTCTCTCAAGCCACACTTACAAACTGTGGATTTGTTGGCTTAACTAGCCGTAGCCCAGGAGCCACTGTGATGGCAAGGTCAAGGTCCAGGTCCACAGTGCAGGGGCCCCAGCCAGGTCCACATACCAAGTGTGTCCAAAGGACAGGACAGAATGGAACTGGCCAAATGCCCGCACTGCAGTTTTCACTTTCTGTGAACTTGGCTCACGCCCAGTTGTGCCCCCAATCTCTCTCTCCCCTTTGTCCTGCCTTGAAGGACTGAGTCAGTAAACATTAGTAGGCCCAATTCTGGAGCATTCTAAGGGTGCACTTCTCTTTGCTTCAGGGAGTGCAGCTTGAGTTTGCAATGATTCAAGCCTTGAACCATCAAAATTAAGTTCACATTTAACTTTAGAAGATAGGAGTGAACCATAAAAGAGAGTAATAATTTAAACATAATACTGATAATGTGCTAGAGATAAATGTAGATAACCAGACTCTACCTCTAAGCTTGTGTGACCTTTGGCAAATGGGTTAGAGATGGTACCATTTCATTGGGTTCTTGGGAGAATTAAGTGAGATAATACAAAAAATATGCCCAGAGAAATACCCAAAGCCTTCAATAAATATCATTTTAATTATTGTTGTTGCTAATGTCATGTCTATACAGATATGCATATGTAATGAAAACCATTTCTATAGTGTGTAAAATGTGCCTGTACCAGTGTTATGTTTCTCCTTAGTGAGTTGCAAATAAGAGTTAAGTTAGCCCGGCCAGCGTGCCTCAGTGGCTGTGTTGACCTATGAACCAGGAGGTCATGGTTCGATCCCTGATGAAAATTGTTGAAGCTGTGTTATGAGTACATAGAAGTTTGTTTTGTACGATTTTGTCTGCTTTTGTACATATTTAAAATTTCCCTAATAAAACATGGTTGTTGTTTTTTAATGTATTATGGCCAATCAGTATTTACCCCTGGAAGGAAGAGAAAACTTGTCTCAGGAGGATTTCTTTGTGAAACACTGTAGGGTGCTCTAAGGAAACCTCTTCCGTCTTGTCTTTGGAAAAATATAAATTTCTCACGGTGCTTTTATCTGACAGGAGTTCTCTTTCAGGAGGATTTGAAGAATAGAACCAAAGGGTAGCTGACATAAGGGTTTCTATGAATATCTTATCTCCCTGCATTGGAGATCAGAGGCACCATCATGCAATACAATCCAAGGAGACTTGTAATCATAACAGAAACAGGGAGAACACATATACAACAGGGAGATTAGATGGGGGAGATATAGCCTGGTATTTTAGGGCAATTTTTAGTATTTTGAAAAGAGCCCCTGGCGCCTGAACCAGGAAAATGTTTCTGGGCTTAACTGCCTAGTGACTTATCCCTAGGCCTGGAGTATGGGCTACTTCTCAAAACCACTAAGATCTCTCTGGACCTTAACATTGAGGGACAAAATTAACGATGTTTCTGAACAAACAAACAATAGCTGGAAAAGTCATTCTGTGTCTGCTCTAATTTCAGGACAGGATCCCATGGCTTTGCAACTTGCATGACATTTTACTAAGGTAAGAGCATCAGGCCTTGGCATACCAGGGAGTCAAGAAGACCCATCAGAAAGTACAGGGTAAAATATATAGTCTTGAAATCGCAACTGACCGATGATAAAAGATCCCAGGAATGGAATGTGTTTCTATCAAATAACCAACAATGATTTTAATCAGCCACAGGCATAGTTTAGTTGGGTTCTGGACACAAACCTAGACAGCTCCACAATTACTAGCTGGGAATCAGCCACTTGGCTTCTATGAGCCTGTTTCTTCATTTGAAAAGGGGGTTAAATAGTTCCTAGTCGCAGATTATTGTGAAGAATTAGCAAGACGAGGCATGAGTAGTACTTAAACCAGTATCAGTATAAAAGTGCTCAAAAAATGACAGCAGGCTGTGCCTGAGCCATAGCCTACATTCACAGGAGCCGAGACCCGGCACCTTGATAAACTTCCTCCCCCGGTTCCATGGGCAGGTCCTCTGAGTAGCCCCATTTAACAGATGATGAACTGGTGGTCAGGGAGGTACATACCTTGCCCAAGATGATTCAGTTTACTAGTGGAAGATCTTTACCCCAAAGCCAGGACTGCCTGAATCTTGACCGCCGTTTATAGCACCTTCCACTGGCAGGAAGTAGTACTGGACTCGGCCTAGAATGGACACCTGGTATTTTAAACGTCTTCATTCTTTACCACTTCCGCCTCCCCCCCTGCCTTTTTTTTTTTTTTTTTTTTAAACAGAGATGTAACCTCGGGACAGCATGTGATCCTAGCCTGCTCAGCTCTGAAGAAAGTGTACAGAGACATCTTAATACGAGGAAAGGATGGTGCACCTCCGAAGTGTGACGAGCCAGGGAAGGAGGGAAAGCCGGCTGAGGTGCAGCTCCTTGTGGTCTATCTGAGTGGGTCATTTGAGGTCATCTCGGGACGCTTACTCAAAAGAAAAGGACACTTTATGCCCCCTGAGTTATTGCAGTCTCAGTTCGATATTCTGGAACCCCCCTCAGCTCCAGAAAATTTCATCCAAATCAGTGTGGACAAAAGTCTTCCAGAGATGATTGCTATAATTATGGAAGCTATAAAATGAAACCCAAGTCACTTCCTATCACTGGTCCAGAACAGAACTAGGCATAAATTTCTATCCTGTCCCTGACCATGTTAAAGCATCCATGCTGGTACTGTACTCTAAATTCTAGTTAGGGTGAACAAACCACGATGTGTTGAAATATACTTGTTTGGATGTGATTTTAGGAATTTGTGGTCCTCTTGTCACCATGCTCTGCACACTGGAGGAGAGGGGACTTGGAAAGTTAAGCTTCCACTGAAATTGAAATTCATGTGATCCAATCAAATGATCAGAGGATATCATATAATCAGTGCTGAAATCACTACCTTATTGGGAACATTCTTGATCAGGCTATATTCCAACAAGTAAGTAAAATTTGGCTATCCTTGGCATCCCTTGGAAATTGGTCTTGGGAGCAGAAACGTGTCCAAAATCAACCACTCACCAGCAAGTAATTTTACACCATACACCTCCGAATCCTCTGTCCTTTCAGGATAAGTAAATAAAAAGCACAGCTAGTTCACGGATATAAAAAGCAGCAAAGGCCCTAGCCGGTTTGGTTCAGTGGATAGAGTGTCGGCCTGCAGACCAAAGGGTCCCAGGTTCGATTCCGGTCAAAGGCACATACCTTGGTTGCAGGTTCCTTCCTGGCTCTGGACCTGGCCCTGGTTGGGGTGCATGCAGGAGGCAACCAATCGATATGTTTCTCTCACACTGATGTTTCTCTGACTTTCTCCTCGCTCTTACACTCCCTAAAAAATCAATGGAAAAATAACCTCGGGTTGAGGATTAACAAAAATAAATAAAAATTTAAAAAAATAAAAGAATAAGCAAAAAATTAAAATAAAAAAAAAAACTGCAAAGATGGCCCTGGGCCGTGTGCTCAGTGGTTAGAGTGTTGTCCCATACACAGAAGGGTGATAGGTTCAATTCCCAGTCAAGGGCATGTGGCACATACCTGGGTTGCAGGTTTGATCTGGCCCCAGTTGGGGCATGTGCAGGAGGCAACCCATCGATGGGTCTCTCTCACACTGATGTTTCTCTCTTTCTCTCTCCCCCTCTCTCCCTCCCTACCATTCTCTCTCTAAAAAATCAATGATAAAAATATCCTTGGGTGAAGTGTAACAACAACAACAACAAAAAACTGCAAAGATGGAATTTGAGCGAATGAACCGTGGGACTCACTGACCCAGTCTACTCTCCACATTTTACCAAGGCCTCTGTGAGACGAGACTAGTAAAGACATTACATGTTGAAGCCCTTCGTCTATTACAAGCTACTCTCCCTTATTTGTTCTTTAGAGTTAAGGCGTCATATTTATTATTTCCCTAGGTGAACTTTATTAAAGGGGACATGAGAAAAATAATTGTTTAAAAAAAGGCATTGAGACTGATACAGTTGAGTACTATTGCTCTAATGTTCCCATACCTGGCCACAGGGAGGCCAAGATGTGAGCAAGTACTGCCCTCTGGTGGCCCCAGAGGATGCAGCAAGCACAAACTGCTCACCCAGTCCTGAGAACCCCTCCAGCAGCCAAGGGTTATGTTGCAGGTTCAAAGGGTGGTGGAATGCTGCTCCCCACCAGCCCTGCCCACACCCCTGCCCAGCCTCTGAACTGGGAAGAAGAGGTAGGTGAGAACTGTTTGAATGGTTCAAAGTAAATGCCAATGAAAGATTTCCTCAACCCTGCAAACACCACTTACCACCCCCTCTGGCAGGACTCTCCACCTTGTCCCCCTCCACTGGAAGAAGTTCGGGTTAAACCTTTCCTCTCCTATAAAATGGGGACACTTCATTCCGTAAGATTGTGAGAACTGAGATAATGCATGCAAAGTGCTGAAGCCTGACACACTAACTACTCAAACATTGGCTCTTGTTATACTTGTCATCCCCAGGTCTGAGGGAGTGTGTCCTATGGCCACACTTCCACTCCTGTTATTCTGACTGTGTGGGAGCTTATGAACTCCTTCGAAGTATGTGAATCTTGCGTCTTCCTTCTTATTCCCTGCTAGGGTCTCCCTCCACCCCAACCCAACTCTTGACCAGGTCAAATCAGATGTTATAGCAGCATTATTCACAATATCCAAATGATGTAAATGCCCACCAACAGATTAATAAATAAAATGCAATACCATCCTTACAATGGAATTATTACTCAACCATTAAAGGGAATGAAGTACTGACATGGATGAACCTTAAAACCATGCTAAGTGACGGAAGCCACACACAAAGGCCACATACTACATCATTCCAATTATATGAAATATCCAGAATGTATAAATCCAGAGTTAGAAGCAGACTAGTGGTTGGCAGGGGCTGAGGCACGGGGTAATGGTGAGTGATTAAGTGGTTTCCCTTCTAGGTGACAATGAGTTGTGAAGGATTTTGATGGTTGTACATTGTGAATGTACTTTAAAATAGTCACAGTAGTTAAGTTCTGTTCATTTAGCAAAAAAGAGAACCGTAAGAGCTAAGCCTAACTCACCAACCTTACCACCATATGCTAGGACAGCAGGCTAGATGCATGCTACCTTTTGGAGAGACTTTCCCAAATAAAAGGGGCTCAGTCCATGTACCTACTTCCTCCTACAATATTCAACAGGCAGTTAAGTCACTCCTCCCTAGAGAAAAGTACACATTGGAGGAGAAAAATGTGCTGCTCCAACACTTTTCCCCTTCTGGAATCATAGTGTGTAGTGGATTAAAGTAGTCATAAATTCACAAAATTTTTGATACCCATCAAGCAACAGGGCCTATGACCCTTAACTTTGACACTAGGTCAGTTTGGGGCTCACACCTTGAAAAAACTGACAGCTTTCATTTTTCTCAAGATACTTGTCTACCATGTTCATGTAAGAAAGTACAAGTGGCCCTGGAAAAGCCCATGTGGAGAGAAACTGAGACCCAAACTGGACTCCCAGATAAAAGCATGTAGCAAGTCCACAGCCAGGTAAATCAGCCTTTGCAAAGTAAATTCTCCAGACCAAGTCAAGTTGCTCCAGCTACTTACACCAAGCCCAGCCAACATTGCTAATTTGTGAATAAAATAAATGATTGATTTTGTTCTAAGCCACCAAGCTGTGAGGTCGTTTGTTATAAAGCATTGGATAACCACAACACAGGGGAAAGTCCCTTCACTTTCTGGGAAGTATAAGGAGTTGAGAATGTGCCTGAGTAGCTTTTTTAAAAACCTAGCTGGGTCCTCAGACTATTCCAAAAAAAATTCAAGAGGAAGGCACACTTCCAAGCTCTTTCTATGAAGCCAGCATTACCCTAATTCCAAAATCAGATAAAGACACCACAAAAAAAGAAAACTACAGGCCAATATCCTTGATGGACATAGATGCTAAAATCCTCAACAAAATTCTAGCAAATCGGATTCAGCATTACATTAGAAAGATCATACACCATGACCAAGTGGGATTTATTCCGGGAATGCAAGGCTGGTACAATATCTGCAAATCAATAAACGTGATACATCACATAAACAAACTGAGAGACAAAAATCACATAATCATATCAATTGATGCAGAAAAAGCATTTGACAAAATCCAACACCCTTTCTTGATAAAAACTCTCAGCAAAGTGGGAATAGAGGGATCATACCTCAACATAATAAAAGCCTTATATGAGAAACCTGCAGCTAAAATCATACTCAATGGGCAAAAACTAAACTAATTTCCCCTAAGAACAGGAACAAGGCAGGGATGCCCACTTTCACCACTCCTGTTCAATATAGTCCTGGAAGTGCTAGCCATAGTGATCAGATAAGAAGAAGAAATAAAAGGCATCCAAACTGGAAAAGAAGAAGTAAAACTGTTCTTATTAGCAGATGACATGATACTATACACAGAAAACCCCAAAGACTCCATCAAAAAACTACTAGACCTAATAAATGAATTCGGCAATGTAGCAGGATACAAAATTAACACCCAGAAATCTATGGCCTTTTTATACACCAATAATGCACTCTCAGAAAGAGAAACGAAAAAAACAATCCCATTTACCATTGCACCAAAAAAATTAAGCTACCTAGGAATAAACTTAACTAAGGAGGTAAAAGAACTCTACTCAGAAAACTACAGGACATTGAAAAAAGAGATAGAGGAAGACATAAACAAATGGAAGAACATACCATGTTCATGGATTGGTAGAATCAACATCATTAAAATGTCCATACTACCCAAAGCAATCTACAGATTCAATGCAATCCCCATTAAAATACCAATGGCATATTTCAAAGATCTAAAACAAACTCTCCAAAAATTCATCTGGAATAAAAAAAAGACCCCAAATAGCCACAGCAATCCTGAGAAAGAAGAACAAAGTTGGAGGGATCACAATACCAGATATCAAGCTATATTACCAAACCACGGTTTTCAAAACTGCCTGGTACTGGCACAAGAACAGAAATATAGACCAATGGAACAGAACAGAGAACCCAGAAATCGACCCAAGTCATTATGCTCAATTAATATTTGACAGAGGAGCATACAATGGAGTCAATGGAGTCAATGGTGCTGGGAAATTTGGTCAGATACATGCAAAAAAATGAAACTAGATCACCAACTTACACCATACACAAAAACAAACTCAAAATGGCTAAAGGAATTAAAGGTAAGATGGGAAACCATAAAAATTCTACAAGACTCCATAGACAGCAAAATATCAGACATATGTCGTAGCAATATCTTTACCGACACACTCCTAGGGCAATGGAGACTAAGGAGAAAATAAACAAATGGGACTACATCAAAATAAAAAGCTTCTGCACAGCAAAAGAAACCATCAACAAAACAAGAAAGCATGGGAGAACATATTTGCCAATGATATTTCAGATAAGGGCTTAATCTCCAAAATTTACAGAGAACTCATACAACTTAACAAAAGGAAGATAAATGATCCAAGCAAAAAATGGGCAAAGGACCTAAATAAACACTTTTCGAAAGAGGACATACAGAAGGCCAAGAGACATATAAAAACATGTACAAAGTCACTAATCACCCGAGATGCAAATCAAAACAACAATGAGATACTATCTCACATCTGTCAGAATGGCTATCATCAACAAATGACAAGTGCTGGCGAGGATGTGGAAAAAAAGGAACCCTCGTGCACTGCTGGTGGGAATGCAGACTGGTGCAGCCACTGTGGAAGACAGTATGGAGTTTCCTCAAAA